TATGTGGAGGTTTTTCTTACTGTGATGCACCTTGTACCTTCTGTTCGGCACACAACAGCACTCTACCATTTTATGACAGTATATCATTTTCCTCAAAGTGTTTTTTGCTTTAACATTTGTAAACAACTGTACAAAAAAAACTCTGTTGGCATGGCAACCAGTAATGTGAGGTGAGTGTGCTTAATGGCAGCACAATATGGCTACAACACATCTTTGTGGAATTGCATTACTTGAATCGTTTTAGATTATTACAGTGTGAGAGCTTTGCGGCTTTATGTCTCTTCTCACTGTGTTATTGTCTCTGTTGCAGTTTGTCCTGCAGGGATGTGTTCAAGTCGGGGTGTATGTGGCGCCAATAACCGCCCCAACAGACCCTCCAGCTCACAGGGCACCAGTTCAGGCGCACACTATGCCCTCTGCGCCCTGGGAGTGGGACTCATTGCTCTGGGTATTGTTATGATTGTGTGGACTGTGATACCCATGGATGGGGAGGCCTCAGGTGGCTCCCACACTCCATCAGACAACACCACCGCGGTGCCCGGGAACAATAATGGAAAAGCTACAGAGACCACTAAGTCTTCAACAGTGGCTATAGTGCTGGTTGGAGTTGGGGCAGCCATGTTGCTTTTATCCATCTGCCTCGGGGTGAGGAGCAAGAGGAGGACACGCACCAGAAGGAACCAGCCAGCGGCAACAGGAGTCCCCCTCGTGGATAATGTGGCAGAGGAACCGTGAGTAATAACTTTTTCTCTCCTTTTTTTTTTTTCTTTTCTTTTTTTTTCTTTTTCTTTTTTTAATTAAATGGTTTTAATTGCCAAATTCCTCCAATTTGAAATCTTTAAAAATATATTATACACTAAGGTATTTCTTTCCATGTCTTGAAACATTTCAAAATGGAATATTTAAAGCCACTTTGTTTAGCATTTGAATATTCCTTAACTGGGGCGCCATCTGGTAGTAGCCTTTCTCCGCAAACCACTGCCAGAGTGGATGAATTTTCCAAAGGGAAGGTATGCGATTTTATTGTGCTGGGATTGAGAGCATCCTCACCTATTTGGAATAACTGTGTGGTATGGAAGCACGTCAGCATAAGACGGGAAGCATCTGCATAAAAAATCATAGGCCAGGAGCTACCGTCTCTTGCTGAAATGTAGACCAGTAGACAACGGAAATAGGGACACAATGACTCCTCTCACCCTGCTAACCATCTTTTGAACCATCTCCCTTCTTTTAAAAGACTTGAAAGTATCAGAAGTAGGACAGCCAGGTTCTACAACAGCACAGAGGCCGTTCATGCTTTTCTTTCTCCTAAATCACTAATATGCTGTTATTGTTCCTGTCTGTGAGACATTGTATGGGCATGTACTGTAAACAGTGGTATACGTCATAGCTGGTTGTGGTACTTTTTCTTAAATGATTATGCATTTATTTATTAATTAGTTAATTCACCTTTATGTCCTATGGTGATCACTATATGTGAGGAGGGTTCTTGTTGTTTTTGTTTTGTGAGCTCACCAAACCAAATCAACATTGTTGAAATGGCAAAGTCTTGAACCATTTATTAACCAGTTATCATTGGGATTGTTTCATTTTTGTACAAACGAATACTTATGCCATCAGAATAATTTGAATCATGCAATAATCATATGCACATTCTACACATAGTAACTTGACAAAAAAAAAGTTTTAAAAAAGCGTAGTTCATACATTCGCTAATTTAACATGTAATTTATAAATATAGGGTCTGTGTCTTGGATCATACGTCTTTGCTGAGAAAATCCCCAATTGTTGTCACATAATTTGTTTTCTTTAATATTATTAAATCTAGGCACTCATGTGGTCCTGCTGTCATACTGCAGAGATTCTTTTAAAAGCATCAAGCTAATTATAATAAAGTAAAATCCTTAAATCAAGATTTTTCACTTAGGTTCACCTCTTGCATCTATTTGCAGAGCTGCAGACCCAAACACATTCAGCGTGCCAAGTTATGAGGAGGTCGTTGGCAGTGGCAACTACCCTGTCCGCCAAAGCAACCTTCGCAACAGCACCTCCCAGCTGCCGTCCTACGAGGACATCATAGCCGCTGTGGAAAATGAGGGTGCAGAGCCTGGTAGCAACCCCACCGAGGAGGCCCATCCTAATGATCCCACACCAGCTCCAGCTCAACCTGCCACTGAGATATCAAACCCCAGCTTGTCCGTCCGCAGCAGCAGCCGTGCCAGTCGTTTGCTGAGGCCCCTCCGGGTGAGAAGGATTAAGTCAGACAAACTGCACCTCAAGGACTTCCGCCTCCAAATCCGCAGCCCCACGCAGAATCCAGTGACCATTGAACCCATCACTCCGCCACCGAAGTATGAAAATAAGATGCCTGAATTAGGGTAGTGTCTTTCACTTATTGCCTGTTCCCGATGAATAAAAATATCTCTGAGAACCCACTCTCAAGGTTGGTATTAAGTAGGTTAAATGTGGCTGCGAGCAGCGTGATGGAGGCCGTGCAGACACTCTTTAAATGAGAAGATTTCAAGTGAATCCCTTGTTCTTTTTCACTGAAGCTTGTGACATATTTATTGTGTTATAATGCATAATTAAATCCATGTGAAAGGATAAGCTGTCTGAGTTTAGATTTTGATTTAAACATTGTTCCATAACTTATATCAAACACAGGACAGCCTTTCAGTTTTATTTAGTTATTTAGATGTTTGTTTGTGAAGTTGTTTTTAAATCTGTTGTCTTAAGCAAACTGAAAATGATATCCAATGTGAACTGTCAAATATTGGAAACAGTGGGAACAATTATAATCTACTGTTAATAACCTGTGACAGTAAAACCAGAAGTAAAAGTCTGAAGTATTGGATAATCTGGTGCGGGATGTGACATTAACAATTAGACATGCATTGCTTAGGATTCAAGGTGTTTAGATGTTTAAGGTATGCTGTAATGTTTTTGTTTTTTTTAAGTGGTGAATAAATGCTTGTCTGTTTCATTTAGGATCATTTCAAGATTTTATATTTTTATCACAAAATGTCACTGAAAATGAGTTTGATGCCACGATCAGTAGAAGCAAGTGGATCTACTAAATACAAAGTAAACCAAAAGCCAATGTGTCACTTCTGTGCCCTTGCTGGTGCTATTCAAACACACAAAGGTTACTGCTCCATTTCTGATGATTTGTATTGATTGTGTGCTCTAAATTTGATGGAATTGTATTTATTTTGAAAAGATAAATATTCTTTGTACTTTAAGCTAATAAAATATAATTGTAGATGTTTGCTTTGTTGTTTTCATTGTTTTTGTCATCATGACAAATTCCTCTCCGTTTGACTTTGATCAATTTCTATGTGTTACCATTCAATGGTTGATATTTAGCGCCATCCAGTGGTTACAAAAGGTTAAAGACCAAAGAAGGTAAATTCAAATTTCAGGTTATTTGGTAAGAATAAATGAGAACAAGGAAATAGTAGTACAAAGTGAAAAATAATTGCTAATATGAGGAGAGGTGTTATCAATGCAAGAATCAATGTGAAGTAAATTGATGAGCCTTTCAGATCAGATTTATGTAGACTTTATAGGTTTAATATAGAATTTATATCTACCTTTATGAGCTGTGTGCATGTTCTCCCCATGTCCGCGTGGGTTCTCTCCGAGTGCTCCGGCTTCCTCCCACCATCTAAAGACATGCAGGCTAGGTTAATTGGTGTCTCCCAAATTGTCCTTAGGTGTGGATGTGAGTGTGAGTGTTTGTTTGTGTGGCCCTGCGATGGACTGGCGACCTGTCCAGGGTGTACCCCACCTTTTGCCAGATGTAAGCTGGGATTGGCTCCAGCCCCCCGCGACCCTTACTTCCGTAAGTGGAAAATAATAATTGTTATATTAATAATCATATGGTATCTTCATAATTTTACACAAATTGAACTTATACAATGATGCTTACTTGAGATTTTTAACACATTTGAAAGCATAGAATAGGACACAATTAAAAAAAACTGAACAATATATGTTTGTATATAATACAAGTTTTCACTTTTTTAAGTCTGAAATTGTCTAACGTGTGATGCTAATGACTGCTGAGCTTAATTTACTTAAATTATTCAAGGATTTTTTTCTGGCCTATAATGCAGGAACACAACTTTATTCCTCTGATAGTTTGCCATCTGGACTTTGGTCTGTGCTTATTAAGATTGTACTATTTACCCTACTTGTAAAAAATAAAATAAAAATACAAAATACATTTAAATGACTAAATACAAATATCAAAAGAAAAACTGTTCGCGAAACATTTCGCTGTGTGATATACTGTTATACATTATACTATTAGATTATCAGTGCTGATGCATTCATGGGCTAGTATGCATTTTACTGTTGTATTTGGTCGAGGTGGAGCAAACTAACTGATTTATAAACTGCTGCGTAGTCTATGCCACAGCTTCATATTTCATGAGTTAAGTCTGTAAAGTAATAGCTACCAAAGGTAGCCTAATAAATGTATTGAAGTAAACATATTTCCTATGAAATGTACTGAAGAAGTAGCATAAAATGGAAATACTCAAGTAAAGTAGCCTAAGTACCTCAAATATGTACTTAATAAAGTAATTGACTATTAATATAGTTACCTGCATCTTACTACTGTTTCAGTTAAACCTTATTAGCAAATATATAAATACAATATATATTACATCATCTCATTCTAAATTTACATGTTCAAAGAAGTTTAAAAAATGCGGAACTTCAAGGTTCAAATATTTGACTTATCAAAGTTTATTTTTATATTTCCAATATTTTAAACAACATTTTCCTAAGCTCCACCCTCCCCTCGGTTTAGAGGGATTTCGTTTTTCTTTTTTTAATGTGCAGCTGCCATGTAGCAGAGGGAGGAACAGCTGGCTGAGGGAAGAGCCAGCCCGGGGAGTCAGTCACATTCCTGGCTGGGATTCAATGACTGAACCAGACACAAACAAACAGAGAGAGAGAGAGAGAGAGAGAGAGAGAGAGCGCGACTCACACAGTGAGTGAGTGGGGAGACAGACTGAGAGTACGCCAGACGGAGCAGACGAGGCATATTTCGAGCGCACATTAGGAGTGCGTAAAACCGCAGGAGCGCAAAGAAACACAGTACCCGGTAATTGTGCGTTGGATAATTCGCGTTTTGAGTCTAGGAGTTGTCGACTTTAATTGCGTCTGCTTACAGGAACAGCCCCTATGAATTCAGCAGCCGTCGGTTTTCTGAATGGACGCACTGGGAAGCTTCTCCGATGACATGGAAATACGCGTTATTGAGCGTGTAGCCGGATGCTGAGGACGCCCGATCCTATAAGTGAATTTCAGCTTTCATTTTGAGTTTTGAAATCTCCTCTCTAACCGGCAACAACATGGAGGGCACGAGCTTTCAGCACCATCCCGGACTTCAGCAAACTCTGAAGCAGTTTCATCTGAGTTCCATGCGCTCTCTCGGCGGACCGGCTGCGTTCTCCGCTCGGTGGCACCAGGACTCACTCTTCAGTAAAGATGGAAAATCCGCAGAGATGATGCTTACCCTGCCGGCCCAGACACCTCCAGTAATGTCCGGTCCACTTTTCATCCCGTCCGACCGCTCCACAGAGAGGTGCGAGACGGTCCTGGAGCGGGAGCCCATCTCCTGCTTCGTGGTCGGCGGTGAGAAGCGCCTCTGCCTGCCGCAGATCCTCAACAGCGTCCTGAGAGATTTTTCCCTCCAACAGATCAACACGGTGTGCGATGATCTGCACATCTACTGCTCCAGGTGCACGGCGGACCAGCTGGAGATCCTCAAAGTGGTGGGTATCCTGCCCTTCTCGGCTCCGTCCTGCGGGCTGATCACTCAGACGGATGCTGAGCGCCTCTGTAACGCTCTCATCTACGGCGGTACTTACCCTCCTCACTGCAACAAGGAGTTAGGCTCCCTGGAGTTGGAGCGAACCGAGAAGAGCTTCAAAGTCTATCATGAATGTTTTGGTCGGTGTAAGGGCTTGTTTGTCCCGGAACTGTACACCGGCCCGAGTGCCGCCTGCATCCAGTGCATGGATTGCAGACTCATGTTCCCCCCTCACAAGTTTGTGGTCCACAGTCACAAGAGACTCGAGAACCGGACAGTCCACTGGGGATTCGACTCTGCCAACTGGCGGGCCTATGTGCTCTTAGACCAGGACTACAGCGGGAAAGAAGAGAAGAGTCACCTGGATCAGCTGCTTAAAGAGTTAAAAGGAAAATATGACCTGATGGGCAAGCGGTCCCATATATCATGCAGGGTAAGTCTCTTCTGTTTCACCTCGTTATTACTTATTGGTTTCGAGGTGTTTTGTATCTGTGTGGATATTTCAACAGCCTTAGGCCTACTAATTCATTTTGAGGAGACTAGTCTCTGATTAGGCCTGTCTCTGTCTTCTCTGATTGATTGTTTGTATCTGTAAGTGTTGCCAGTCTTATAAGCATCCCCCTCAACAGAGTTATTGCATATCACATGCCACACATATCACATCTTACTGTATCTGTCTCCAATAATCCTGTACTGTGAAACACCTCAAATAAAGCCTCATATGTCTGAAAGAGGACAGCGAAGCATCTAACCATCAGCTGACACCCATGAGCATCCCTCCAACACCCCACCACCCAACCTCCAGGGTTACCCAAGGGCATCTGCATTTTGATAAATGTAGTCCCGATGATATATTTTATTAGTGTGAGAGAGGAGAGGGGGGCAGGGGAGCCCATTATGGTGCCATGAGATGGGGATGGGGGTAAGAGTTTAATGAGGTTTGGGATATGGAAATGTATGGAGAGGTATGGAACGAAAGAGAGAGAGAGAGAGAGAGAGAGAGAGAGAAGGGGTTGTGACTGGACAGGATAAGAAATGAGTTTGTAGTGTGTGTGTGTGTGTGTGTGTGTGTGTGTGTGTGTGTGTGTGTGTGTGTGTGTGTGTGTGTGTGTGCTGCTGTCTAGGCTCCTTGCGTGGGTCAGAGATGTTTAGTATGGACAAAGGGCCAGGAGACGAGGTGACTGTGCAGTCACAGAGCAGCTGTTGTGTGGGACTCTGCTAATGAGTGGACATCTCTGTATGCATCACCATGGTGCTGCTCCAGTCTGAGCAGCAGCCAGGAGATGTCTCAGAGGGAAATCTCAGAACTCGCTTTAAAGGATGCTTCTAAACTAAAATGTTTTTGGCTTATCGAAACATGAAATGATGACAGGGGGAAGGTTATCAGTGATAGCAAATATGAGGTTGTTGATTTACATCTTTTGTGTATTTAAGTCTCCTTGTGAAGGTCCTGATGGCAGCACACAGCTGATTTATATCGTGTTTTCCTATGAGCTGGACACAGACTCCTGACAAAATCTTTGTACAGTCAAGAAATATCTGTCTGTACAAAAAAAAGTCTTGCACCTGTGGCTAATTTCTTCCTAACTGCCGTCAGCAGTTCTTGATGTATCACCTGTGAGTTATATATTTTCTCACAAGGGTGAGTCCTGCGCTGATAGTCTTACAGTGTGTGTAATACACTCAGGCTGAGCATCATGGAGGGTGCATGGCGGAGGGGGCAGTGCATGTTTGCTGTGGTTCACTGTCAGTCGTGTCCCAGTTAGTAGACAGGGCTGGTCCTCGGGGAGCTGCACACCAGCGCTCTCCCATACATCAGCCTGACAAGCCAAGCTGCCGAAAGGCCGGACGGGGGCTCGCAGACCATGGTTGGCTTGTCTTACCCATGAAACAAAAACTCAATGTTATCGTTCTGCCTCAGCCTCCCTCTGATGTTAGTGTTTTATTAATAAGAAAGAGCCTCAAAGGTTACCTCCTCTGCCTGTATCGTCTGTCTAGACTCCCACCTCATTTACTGTACATGGTGGTTGGTGCAGATAACTCCTGAGAAGATTATTGCTGATGTAGCATGTGTTTTCTGTGGAATCGTTTTGAAATGCAGTTTGCAAGAGAGATTTAAGTGTGATTTAGAATTATTAAAAATTAAAAAAATTTTAAGGGGCTGTGAATGTAGAAAGTGAAATATAACCAGTCATTTTTGCAGCCTCCTCACAAAAGCAGAAGCCGGATCAGAGGAGGGAATGATCCCGGTGAACCGTTGTGTCTGTTTTGCATCAAATCCAGCATTTGGTCATTTAGCTCTTTGTCTAATGTGCAGATGAGGGCAGATTGCTGAGAGGAGGTTGCAGACTCTGTTATTCAGAAGACGCAGGCGGTGTGTGTGTGCGTGTGAGCCAGGCCTTGACATGTGTTGTCAAATGTCCGTGACCCCTGACCTTTCCCCAAAGACACTGACCCAGCCTTCCCCCATTCTTTTCACACCATCCAATCACATGCCCTTGTGTCCAGTCCACTGGCCAGATGGCTGTCTGATAAAGGATGGAGGGATATACAGTGGATAGATAACAAACATTACTCTTAGCTTTCAGTAAAACATCACAACTTTGTAATGCGTACGGTGGTCTTTATTTCAGATCATGGGTGATTGTTTTGCTGACATGCGGCCAAAAAAATTTACATTTCATGGAAACTTGAATTTTAAGTCCAAATCAGATGATTTGTTCCACTGTGTTGAAACTTGCGTGTATTAATTCAAATATTAACTTTTCTGATTAGTATGAAAATCGTCAAGACAGAGGATTTGAATTGCAAATACTTTTTTCCCCCTTCCAAGTCAAATACTTCTGAGCATTAACTGTTAAAAAAATAATAATAATAAATCCCTAGGAAGTGAGGGCAATGTGATCAATCATCTGACTGAGTGGAGAGTAAACGGGGGTTCTGGAGAATTGTATGGACCCTCCTTAATGGAATGGATATTAAAACCATCCAACTGAGGCCAATTTATGCCATTTTTCATCCCATTGTTCTCCTCACTCGATGAAATTAACCTCAAACCTGGAGCAAACCAATCAAGTGTGTATCGAAGGGTAAAGGACTGTGTGTTTTCAGGTAATAGCGGTTATTGAAAGAGAATGAATGAAAGAAATATACCTCTTTCTCCATCAGGTAACTGTGTGTTTGTCTCCACTTGCACGTGGGTGTCTTTATGTATAGCGAGTGTGTTTGCATGTTTTCAGGCGAGTGTAATGACTGGATCAGCTTTGCCGGGCCAGATTAAAATGAGCTCTCTGTCGGCTCATTTCCATTCCCATCTGTCTGCTGACCTCCAGGAAGCCCTGAAAGCTGACATGGTGCATCTCTTTGGTCCTTGATGGGCCTGTTTGCCCAGCATTGACCCAGTCAGCTATAAGACCCAACCTACGCACTTCACCATAAAACCCATTGAGTCAGTCGCATTTGGTTCATATTTAGCACATTTCTAAATCACATGTGAATGTTTTTGGTACTTTGTTGCTTATGTTTAATTTGACTTCTTCTGAAAGCAGTTGCCTGACTTCCAACACCCCCACACCCACCCCTCACCAAAGTGCCACCTCCCCACTGACCAGCCCCTGTCAGATGACCATCACTTGGTCTTTGCAGTGACTGCTGGATGGAGTGCTTTAGCCAAAGCAGGGATGGGGTGTCGAGGCAAAGGGGTGCAGGAGCTCCCAGGGGTTGTGGCCTCCATTCTGGCTGCGGTGACCCCATGTTAAAAGGGCGTCAGCTGGGGTTCTGTCATGGGTGATGTGTGCGAAAGACCTCCCGCCTCCTTTGTTTGAGGACCAGGCTTTCAGAGTCTGTGAAGTGCAGCCATTTCTCTTTGTCAGTGCCTTGTTTCTTTAGGTGCTGTGTGGGTAGGTCTGTAACCTCCAGCCTTTCCCAGGGTGGGAAATCCACACTTTTGAGTTTGTGACTGGTTTCCTGGTTATGTGCTCAAAGACTAACTGGAGCCTGTAGTGGTGTCTGCATGTCTCAGAGAGGTAGGGCTGGGCGATAGTTCAATATTCAACTTTCAGCAGAATTATTTTGCAGTGTTATGATCTTATCATGACATTGTCACATAAGTGTTCTTCAAGTCATTAATTCTCTGCAAGTTATAATTAAAATCTAATAAAACTAGATATTTAAATTTTTGTTCAATCAAATTTATTATTTTATAGATGATTCTGAATACATTCAATGAATACAATCATGCACTATATTCTTCAGTGTATGTCAGTATTGGAATAAAATTAAAATAATAAAATAATAAAAATAAAATTATTATTTTAAATTTGTTACTGTTTTTATTTGTTTAGATATGTTTGAGAGCTGGTCATTATTGCTTTTGAACATTATACATTTGAACAAATTTCTTCATAAAGATAGCTGATATATTTGCAGTGGTGAAAGAAATATTCACATCCTTTACTTAAGTAAAAGTGTACTTTAAGTTTTACAAGTTGAAAGCAAAGGTACTCATAATGCCAGAAAATGACCCCCATTATAATATTCAATTGACCCTTCGCTAAGACACGCTCTCTGTAGTTACTGTTGCCAAGTCCGACAAACTGGATCTGACGGCCTTTTGTCATGGCGTTGCCACTGTTTATTACTGCACTCGCTGGAGAAATATTGATTAATTTTTGGAAAAAACTATCTCAAAAAGATGCAGTTTTGCAGTTGCATTATACATTTGAAGGTTGTAGTCAGGCTGTCAAACTGACTCAAACTGATGTGAAAAAAATAATGATAGAAGCTAAAGCCTACCGATTACACAGTACAAGTGAACCACCATATCACCTGACTACTGAAAAAGAGGACAACGATATTAAGGGTCAGCATTGTTTCTGTACAACTGGGTAGGTCTCTGGCCACTATTACAAGCATTAAAAAACAGAGCAGTTATAACGTTACATTCAGTAGTAAGTTAGCTAGCGTTAGCTAACTAACATTACATTAGAACAATCCACAGCCGACATTTTTCTGGATTTGTTTTAGGTTTTTGAAAGGGAATAAATCATACTTCTCCTTTCAATGTCTCTGGGTACTGACTGTAACTATTAAGTGCCCCAGGAACAGTGTTTCAATCTTAAATAAATGCGGCAAAAGAAAGCTAGAAAACTACGCCTTTTACATTAGAGTCAATGGAGCACAGCCATGAACGTGTCCTCAGTTAGAGCGAGACCTATACTGCGCTGTGAAAGGCCAGCCGTGTGTTCGGGGCGTGGCTTAGCGAAGGGTCAATTAATTAAATGTTTTGTATGTAAAATATCTTGTTTGGTATGAATACTGTCGCTTTAAGAAGATATTTACACACAAAATTTATGAGGAAACTCATTAGTGATGTATACAAGGTGACTAACCAGGTAGCGGATTTCATGGTTAATTTAACTCAGTCAAAAATAG